CTGAATACTACATGTACTGCACATGTACTGTAGACCCTAAAGGCAATATTCATGTTTTCCGCCACCCATGAGCTCATAATACTTTTGAAACAGGAAAAAAAACATATAACATTACAAAATGGACATTAGAACTGGGTTTCTTCCTGCAGGACTCTTCTGGGGAAAATTAATTTCCTTAAGGGTTTGTGCTATCCTCCACATCTTCATTGTTTTTCTTGAGAAAAATAAACAAACCAACTTGACATAGTGGTAAATGTTTTATGAATATGTGCTGGTTTCCTTGTTTAAGCAGGAAGCTTTCTTAGTCTTAGTGTTTTGTGGAAGTCTCAATTGTCTGGTGTATTTGTAGCACAGTTTAGGGATTTTTTACAGCACTAGTGCCACTAGCAGAACTAATTGTGTGTGCATTATTCCTTACAAATGTACCCACACTCCACACAGGCTTTTTGGTTTCAAAAACAGCTTTAAGCTATATTTTCAACCAAAGAACAACTTCTTCAGAGACTGTAAACTGAGACAGAATATGAAATGGGCCTGAAGTCAGACTACTTTGAGGTTTATAACTCTCAGTAGATGTGTTTTGTCTCCAGAGAGTAACTGGCAAGTTCACATCTAACAAATCGTATGTCTGCCTCCATTGTTGAAACAGTATGATGTACTGTACTGTCCGACAGCACATTTTTTTTCTGTAACTCTTTGGAGCAAAATATTGGCCTAACAAAAAAGGGGTCAATCATTTTCATGTTGGAAATCAGTGAAGACCGCCATTTTCATTTGGGGATTCCACCTCATGGAACAGATTAAAGATTGCCTGGTTTTCATTAAATTGGAAAAGCAAATATTTAAATATCCAGACATATTCACTGAAAAATTATAAGCATAACAACCTTTGCTATCATGCACTGAGAAGTCTACCTCCCACGCTTAGACGCTTAGAATTTCTGTTGTTTATAATATTGAAAAAAAAGAAAGAAATGCCTTCTTCCTCCTTCTACTCACCAGCCTTCAAGGTTTTTCCTGTGATTTAATTTTTCTCTTCTACTGTATGTTCTTATCTTTTTCTTCAGCAAAGCATAAAAATACCAGAATTACTGAGTAAAGTAACATTACAGTAGCTTCATGCCCAAACTGTTCGCACTCAATAGTATTTAAAATACCTTAAACCCCTTATTGTCTTTCAGATGTCCATTGGAATCATCCTCAATTCAATCCATTTTCATTACCTCAGGACTGAAAAAAGTTAGCTGGTGGTGACAAAACAGGAATTATATTAATTGATCCTCTCCCTCACACCTAAAGAAAGCCCCATAGCTGAAACATTGTGTTTCTTTTCTTACAGGTAAATATTCATTCCAGCTTTCAGCATGGAATGAATATTTTCTTGTTCCACAACAGGAATTATTGTAGACGTACATCACTTGAATGTTAGATTGCCAGTGTTCCCAACAAACAATCCATTGTAACTAGAGCAAGTGCGATTGCCTCCAGTCGTACAGTACATGGGTACTTATGGTTGATCTTCAGACAGCTGCAGTACCAAATCCAGTGCTTGTCATTGCAGCACAAGCAGGAGTTCTTGTCTCCACCTGTGTCATCATCTGTGAAAGCGATGCTCTTGACAGGCCTTCCTAACGTGATGTCAGCTTCATCCATGCAATGGATTTAAACACCATAATCCAAAGGCCTGTTTGGGCAATGATTGGAGCAACAGTCATATTGTGCTTTCTGTTGTAATCAGACCTGATGGTTGTTGGTAGTCATGGATATAAAGGTGTCCTGAGCAGTCTACACCGAAAATACAGAGCAATTCGAAGGCATGTCAGGAGCTTCATTAAGCAGTTACTAAGATGTCTTGTCATAAAGTAAGCTTGTGTGATTGTAAGCGTTAAAAGAATTCACAATGAGGAAGGTGAATGGGGGGCTCCATGAAGCAGAGAAATTTTGATAATGTTAATTAGATCTTTCCTCTCCTTTTAGCCTTTGCTTTGGTAAAACTAGCATTTTGTAAAAGTAAGAAGATTTTTTTATCTGTTGTTAAAATTCCTTTCTGCTATGAACAGATATTCTAGGAGTGGTTTCTTAAGCCTTTATCATGATTCCAGAGCTCCTCTCAGTATAAACTATTTCCTTCATTTTGATTTTTAGGACTTTTGATTCTGTAACTGCTACTAGAGAGAATTGCAAAACAAGTGTGAACCCGCAGGAATGTGTTTGACATCTTCTCTGGCAATGTCCTTAACTTTAACCAATGGTATATGACTGCTTGGCTTCCAGAACAGTATTTTCCCTTTAATGCAAATCATAAATCTTAAATTAATTTCCAGAATTTATATTACACCTTTCATTCAAAGAAATCTCAAAGCAATTTACCTATAGGTAGGGGCCCGAGGTTATCACCTCTGGTCTTATGTCTTTACTTTAAGAACTAGTTTTCTTTTAATTAGTTTTCTTTTCCATTCAAAGAATGGTATCTCTGACAGCACAGTGCCCCCATCACTATACTGGAGTATCATTTTGGAAAACCTAGTTGAGAAAGTAGATCACCACCTACTGGTACACCAACACCACTTATCAACAGCAATCAAGTTTTCCTTGATCTCTAATCCCAGAGGTCTCTAATCCCAGTATTCTAATTGCCAGTGTGACAGCATCTGGCTAATTCTTCACAGTTAATCCGTTAATTACAGTTCAGATGTAGCCACTGTTGTGGCTATACTTAATGGTCATTCTGTAGAGGTGGTGGAGAGTTTTAAATATCTGGGAACACATATTGATCTGAGGCTGAGCTACACTGAGAATATAGGCAACATTTTTAAGAAAGCAAGTCAGAGACTCTGGAACTTTAATGTTAGTCAAAATGTCATAGAGATGGCATATACAAGTCTTGTTGAGAGCATCCTGACATTTAACATAACAGTTTGGTATGGAAACCTGGGGCTGAAAAGCAAAACCAAATTGTCAAGGATTGTGAAAATGGCCGGAAAAATAATTGGGAAACAGCAGCCCCAACAAAGTGATTTATACCATAATGTAGTTCTCAGAACGGCAAGGAACATCACAGCTGATTCCACACACCCACTCCATTCTCAATTCATAATACTACCATCAGGAAGATGGTACAGGGTACCAAATTCGCATTAAAAAAGTCCTTTGTCCCCTCTGCAATAAAACTACTCAATGAAGGTATGTAAATGTATTCCCCCCTCTACCTACTTATTTTATTCCTCTATTTATGTGCCACATATTGTTGTTTGTGATTTCATGTGACTCTTATGTTTTAGTTGTGTGTTTGTACTTCTGTGGGAGAAGCCAAAAACAAATTTCTATAGTACTGGTCAATAAAGTACAGTATCTATTCTTCACAGTAAAACACACAGTAACACATAGTAAAACTCTGTGTGGCAACACCAGGCAGACCCATGATAGCATGCCTTAATACCACCTCCACAAACTGCAAAGTTGCTAGATTTATGTGATCCATGTACTGTACAACACTTTGAAAATGTATAAATTAGGTCTGGTTCCATGTTAGTCAGGGTGGGAATTTTAGGATAAAATAAAAGGAAGGGTATGGTGTCCTTTTTTAAATCCAGTTATACTACTCGATCTTACTTCTCTTCCCTCAAAACCTGAGGTCTTCTCTTATGGTTAGATGAATTGCATTGAAATGAAGCAGTGAGTAATTTATTGTAAAATTATAGACAAGAGGCAGTGAATGTAGATGTTATTGCTTCATTGATAAGCTCAATTTATAGAAAACGCTGATGCTTAGAACACAGGGTGCTTAATAAAGATTAATGATTACCGAAAGCAAAGGCATTGGTTTGTTAGAAAGTAAGTCTAAACAGGGAAGATTAAAATATATATTGATTTGATCACAGACAAGAAAAGAGAGCCTTTTAAAGATGATTGTTAATGAGTAAATAAAAAGGGTAAGCTGACAGCACAGGTTATAATTATTTTGAGCCCTTTACCTCTTGTAAAACCTTTATTTCAAGGTAAATATCATTGTTTATTTAATATCTGATAGCATATCTCCTATTTAATGCTTTTGTTGACTGCTTAAAGTTTTTTTTAATCTAACTTGTTCGTTTTTTTTTCAGGAGATGAAATAAGTACTGAATCTTGCCTCTAAGGGACATTTCAATCATTACAATCTGTGCAACTGATACACAGAGCACCAGAAGGCACCAGAATAAATATCAAATGTACAGATATTTGATTCATTTCAGATTTTAAAAGCTGCTAAAATTGCCCTGATGAAGCAAAAAAAAGTGGATTTCATATGACATATGACTATACAAATTAATTTAAAATATGCATCTGCTGCTGGAAATTATAAAAGCCCACAGTTCATAAAATCTGATACAGAATATCCTGCAACTGAACTCTATTTCCCTGCTGCATTGATAAAAGTGAAGGCCTCCAAACCCATTGCTCCAGTCTTTAAAGAGCATCTGAGTCAGGCCCTGTGCTGCACACAAAGCAAAGCTACAAGAAACAGTAAATAAATGCAAGCAGGATGTGCTTGCTGCTGTGTCAAGTACAGGTTCTATGCTATTTTAAATGTTCTTTACACTTTAAAGAATGATTATGCACACAAAATCTACAAAATCTAAACAGAATTTCCTAGAAATATATACCACTAGTTAAAAATATTAAAGAGGAATTAAAATGTTCAGGTAATTTATCCTTCGTCCTCTTTAGATCACTCTACAGCTGTTGTATTACAACAAGGGTATTATATGCCATACATATGATATATGCAAATTGTGGTTAAACAGACCACTTCAGTTCTTCTAATGCACATATTTCAGATTGGGTCACCATTTATCCTAATCACAGTCCTGACAAGACATGATGTAGGCTGCTTCACATTAAACATGTGTGTCATTGCAGCACTTTGACGGCTGTCAGACTTGACAAGTCTTGAGCTAAGGGTTTCCCCTTCGTGTGTGTTTCTAAACATCACAATTCAACAAATACACAACCTCTCCTGATGATAAGCCAGTGAAAACACAATTTTAATAAAAAAAACAGATATACACAGGTAACATCATATACATAACAAGATCTACTGCATGTACAAGTGCAGTGAAGGAAAATCCTTGCATGCTTTGTTAAAAAGCATACCAATTATATAATTGCTTTTTATCCCTCCCCCAACCAATTACGCCAGTGGAAAACCAGTTATCTAATTTTCTCCTTTTGAACAAATTAATATTCCACTGAATGCAAAATAGCTCCTTTGAGACACAGATTTTGAGCATCAAATGTGAACCACGGGGCAAAAGCATCTATGTTTTACAGTCAAATAACTTGCCGTGCTGAATGCACTGTGACTGGAAGGATGATGGGGTCAGCATATTCTAATGAGCTGTGGAATATCTTTTGTGCTTTGCTATGTACAAAGCATCAGAACTCGCCCTGCTGGTAAAGTGTGCTGCGAAGCCCCCATCTCCATGCTCAAGGGGTTAAAGAGATTAATCAATGTCAATGTCTGATCTTTTGAAGGCAATACGGAACAGACTGTCTAGCAATACCCAACAGAACATCACTTTGTTAAGTCGCAGAGCACCCGGGCGCTTGTCAAGTAAGTTGCCAGAAACTGCCTTCTGGATACCACTCAACTCCTTCCTGCTTGACCTATTATTTGATATTTGACCACTCGGTTGCAAGACACTTGCTCTTTCGAGCTGAAATGTCACTGGGGCATCTTGTCAGCTACTCGACACCTCGGCCTGACAAGCGATTTTACTTTTGTGTGCTACAAGGCAGAAAATACAGGGCAATGGCCTTGATGCGTAGGCTGTCAAACATGGGCGTCACTCTTGGGGTATCACGGACAAAGGGAGCCTAGTGTACCTCTACCCGCCACAAGAACTCTTACATACGAGAGCATGAAATTGGGAGTAGGGTGGATTAGTTCAAATGTTTATAACAATGTAAAAAAAAAATCTAGTCATTGTGCTGCTACAAGAATTAGATGCTTTGCTTGGCTGGAGAGGATTTTTTTCTTAACTCTCGAACATAATCTTTTCAATTAATGTCGTCTACCTCAAAAGGTGCATACAAGATTGCTTCTTTTACAGAACAAAGAATTTTGACTGTACAGTGGACTGGCGATTAACCCACTCAAATTGGATTGTGTTTCTGGTGTAGTGCCATGAGAAGCAGCCCGACCTTCTCACTTTGACCAAGAGTGACATTACGGTGCAGAAGGGGTAGCAGTCACATCATTTCTGTTTTGCACAACCTGTTCAAAGTTTGCAACTAAATGCTTGTCTTCAGTCGAGCTGACAAGAGAGAAGTGGGCGCTCAGTGAACCATGGCAGGGCTGCCATGAAATGACAGGAATCATTGGCATACATTTCAAATAGCTTGCGCGATCCTATTAAAGTGCCGTATTCCCGCTTTAAAACAGACAAGTATGAAACAAGTTTGATAGATAGAGACTAAAATGGCTTATTGATTTTTTTAAGGTCGGTGGAAAATTACCTAAAATGTGTCACTTTTTAAACAATTGGGAGGGGGAAGAAATGCATAATAAGCACCATATACAAATAAATGTTTTTTTCAAACCACAAAGACATTTCTTATCTTAGAATTCTTGTCAAATTTAGGAAAAAAAAACAATTAGTGTGATTCATTAGGACTGCCTGAGATTCAGAAATAAGGGTCATTAAAACTACAGATTATTGCAGCAGACATTTAATTGAAAAGTATTACATAGTGTTTTGTAGCTGATGTAATATATTATTTATTTTATTTTAAGCGAGCTCCAGAGGTGGATGACTGGGAACCATTTCTTACAGGCAGTTTTACACCTTTCGATGACCTCAGGGGGCCAGAAGAAGAGTTGTGGTAGCATGCCCTGCTGTTCCCCGAATTCTCTCTCAGCAGACTGTGTGATGTGTCTGCTTCAGGCTGAAGTGCTAAGAACTCCGGCTCCTGAAGCTTCTCAGGTGGGACCGCCAGGTGTGGGGACAGAGAGCTGCCCACAGTGGTCCCAGACATCTGAAATAGGATGGAGAAATGGTTATAGCAAACTTGGCAAAGATGAGTGCATTGTATTCCCCTAGAAAATAAACCTTAAAAATGAGAAACCCAACAAACTATTACTAGTAGGGTTTGGTAACTCTTTGGAATATGGAAGGAGGGGTGAGTTGATATTAATCTGCTGTGGTGTGGGATTTCAGTAAAGCTTGTTCACAGACTTTTTTATACAGTATATCAGTTTTGGAAGTATTTTTGCTAGTGCTTAGGTATATTAAGACCCCACAAGGTTTTAAAGGCTGTTTGGAATGTGAAACGGCAAATGCTAATTTTTGTATGACTTGTGACAGTATGATTTCTAACTTTGATACAAGAGCAACACAGTGTACTAGACACTTTATTGAAAAATTACTTGAACACCCTGAGAGCCATTGGTATTTCTCCATGCACACAGCTTATGTGTTGCTTTGACTCGAGGAACAATTTTCATTTGTTTGCACTGGAACTTTAGAGGCTTAAAATGCTAAAGCATAAGAGACACTGTATAAGAGACATGTGCTGCTACAATAGATAAGTATACAAACACAGCTAGTTTACAATAACAAGATAAATATTATTTTTGGCTTAAAACTGGATTTCAAAACTGTGATATCATAACTGTCGAGATCTGGTATCAAACGTAGACTATCTGCTCCAGGTGGTACAAAATCCAAGCTTTCTTTGAAATTAAGATGTTATCGGTTCTAGTAAAAAGATGGGCAGCGTTTCCAAATGGAAGAGACATTCCAGAAGTATCATTAATATTTATAGAGATAAGGGAACATTTATACTTCTATGCATGACTTATCAACACATCTACTTGCCATCCTTTGTTGCCCATGACCTGGTCAGCAGTTTGAAACAGCATAGGTTTAAACTCCATCGAGGAAACAGTCATTATATTCTTCTCACAGTAATTTAGATATCTTAAAATTGGGTTGCTTTTGATAAATGATATATGACACACAAATAAGAATTTTCATAACTTGCATTAACATGAACTGGAAAAACAAAATCTGTTGCTCAACAGTCTTAGTAGGTCATACATCTGCTCTGATGGTCTTTCACAAAAAATCAGAATGGTGTCTTAGGGATCTAAGGCTATAAAACATCAGCATATGAGTGTTTTGGGAAAATTTCTTATGCATGGAAAACGGACAGTACTGTATATATGTGATAATGTGAAGATCAAAATATCCTAGTGTTGAGCTAAATGTGCTAAAATGCTATACTGTACAGGTACAGACCCAGAAATCACAGCTGAACACATGAAAAATATACTGTCAGTGTAAATAAGGGCAGCATGATGGCGTAGTGGTAAGCATTGCTATCTTGCAGCACTAAGGTCCCGAGTTCAATTCTGGACCAGAGGTGCTATCTGTGTTTGTTTGTACGTTTGTACCAGTTTGCATGTACTCCCCACATTTGTATTGGATTCCTCCAGATGAAAAAGCAATCCAAAAATTCAAATTTTAATCCAAAAGCATACTGGTAGGTTAACTAATAACTGGTGTGAGTGTGTACGTGTCTGTGTTTCTGCCCTGTGATGGACTGGTAACCCAACCAGGGTGTATCCTGCCTTGAACCTGTTGCTTGCCGGTATTGACTCCAGCTACCCTGAAACAAGAACTGGAAAAAGCAGGTGGAAAATGTATGGATGAATAGTATGACTGAAAGGCCAAAGACCGTTTGAGAATGAAATACCAGCTTGTGTGATAAATGTTAAGAAACTATGATTTCCACTATTTTTACATAACTGGAACACAGCTCAAATAAGTCTTGAGATATCCACTTGTTTTAACAAATAATATGTAACTGTCTCCATACTGTATATAGGATGTCAGAGTCAGAAGATAAGTAACAGTAGATAAGCAATGCATTAGTGTTGATGAATCGAAAGTAGATCATATATAGAGGTTTGAGAGCTGTGTGAGGCACTGCTGTCAGGCTTACACAGTTACACATGATACTTGACTTGACGGCTGTATTCAATATGCTGCTGTTTGGATTTTAGGTGTTGCTTTGTCTAATACTCTATACAGTATCTTTCAATACTGTCAAATACCTCTACATAAAGCAAGTCTGTCTTTAATAAAGTTAACTTTGCAACCTTTGGACAATCTATTCAGTTAGCTCCTAAAATACAAATGGGCTTGTTGTCTTTAATAAACCTCTACATACCATAAATACAGTAGTATACTGCAGTGTATTTTCCCAGTTCACTACTAAACATTTAGTGTCTAGATTTGAGAGTGTTTTTATTGAAAGTGTTTCCATGTATCTGAGCATGCCACTGTTAGAATACATATTCTTCTAATGCAAAGCACTTTTCCTGTACCACTGGTCACATTCAGTTTTCAAATAAACAAAATCCATATTTGTTATTACCCAGAATCAGACTTAACAGCGTGGTCAAGTGGTAGATTATCAAAGTAATTACAGGTTAAAAACTTCTGGGGTAATGGCTTTTTTCAAACATGAGCTGCCAAGTAAGGACTGGGTACTGCTGCTTATTACATTTACTTTAGATTTCTTCATGTGTTGTTAATGTAAACTGGTTTACAATCACATGGCACGGCAAGAGTAAATTTTATTTGCAGCATAAATTTAATTTGACAGCATCACCACTAGGTTTAGTATAGAACATGAGAATAGCACAGACATCCAGCTCACTATCAATCAGTGCACTGTTACTATACAGTACTTTACGAGCATAGGAGTTCAACTTTTTTACAGAGTAAAATGAAATGTAAATAGATTTTTCTTGTTCCCATCAAACACTGTGCAGGAGATTAGAGGCTAGATCAGGGGAAAATAAATATCCCTTCTTTACCGTGCTGCTTTTTCAAGAATTAATTATTTATTTAGCACAACAAAACACAGTTCTGAAAGGTTTATTATGGGCAATGCTCATTGAAGTCTTCTAAATTTTAAGTATTTTTTATACCAAGCAGAAAAAAAAACATCTAGTAATCATCAATGCACAATTTTAACTGTTCTTTGTGTAATAAAAACTAGACAGTAAAATATATTCAAGCAAATGTATTTTTATCTATGAAATTCACAATACATTCACCTTTCCTCTATTGCCAGAATATTTTAACATTTTTAAAAAGACAGATTTATTGTGGCAAATGTATGTGTATTTTATACAAATACACAGGTGGTTAAGATCTGAGATAAAAGATTATTATGTGTAAAAATACAATGAAAGTACAACTCAAAAAGAAGAGCAACCACCACCTTTCAGTGTTAACTTAAGATCAAGTTAAGATCATGCTTAGTATCTCTGCTTATTATGTATTAGAATCTCATTATAGAAATGCAGAGGAGCAAGAGGGAGGGGTAGTAGTGAAAGGTTAATGCTGAAAGAGAGAAAAGGGGTTGACGCGTACAGTGTGAAATGTATTTTCTAGGAGTGAAACTCAGCCTCTGCAAACGCAGCTCTCTAACGACGCTGTAGTCCACACGAACTTTGTGACAGGCCTCTGTCTCTCAGCCACACTTCACTGGGTCTTGCTGACATTCAACTGTCAAAGACGGCAACCTTCTACCATGGCCCTAACATGCTCTACAGCTTCACCCAATTAACTTGCTTTCACTTGACATCACAGCAAAGAGCTTCATAATAGGTGGTCAAGGTGCACAGTGTCTGCCTGCCCTCTGACTACTCACGCACGGCAAGCAGCTTAACTACCTTTGCTTTCTGCCTTTGTGCTTCTCCAGACCTATGGATCCTTTCCATGGCAGCGTCTGTCCATTTATTAGATTGTGACAGAGAGAGCTGTGAAGTGGGGAGCTGGGCAAAGAGAAAACTTTGATTTGGCTTCAACATACAGAGACCTATCGCCTATCAAATGCATGTGGGTGCATATCTGCATTTATCTAGCTGTCTGCCCGTCTTGATAAAATACTATCTGTTGCATTAAAAATAAAATTATAAAAACAAGGTGACAAGAACATAGACCCCTAACACTGCAGCCTTATCAATCTGGGAAGAAGTTCCTGGAGCACTTCACAACGGATCAGTGCCCAAAGTGAATCTCTTTTTTCCTTGCTTTTCCTTTTCCATGCCAAAAGATACTTTAAAGCATGGAGCCTAACAGGACCTATTGCATAAAGCAATCTATCAAACTGTGATTTCAAATGTCATTCTCAATGGCAAGCACCTTGTTCAAGACCAGGGAAACAACTGCAACACAGAGGACTATTAAAACTAAGCACCAACTGGCAGACATGATATTACACAAACTACATTTTTCTGTCTTGTTCTATTAGGATATGTTGAAATGATCCAAGTTTGGGCAACTATATGACCCAATCACAGCCTTAATAAAACACTGAACATAGAGGAAGTAATAGCTATACCTCATATCAACTGACAAAAGCTGACATTGTGGATGGATGCATTTTAAATTTAAATGAATGACATAATCACATAACATTAAATGTTTTGGTTCCCAATGCAAAAACAAAAATGCTAATTTAATGCAATAACTGTACATTTCCTGTCTCCAAATAATAACTGGATAAAACTCAGATTCTATCAGTAAATCTTTTGTTTACAGTTGGACAAAAACTGTTTTGGTTTCTAGAAGTTAAGTCAGTTAGTAAAATCAAAATATCAGCACACTTTGACTTTTTCTACAGGTGGGTAGGAGAATTTGTCATAGAGAGGAGAAAGTCTTGCACAATGTAAAAATGCCAAATAACTGTGGTGAAATAAAAAGATGATAGACCTTCTTCAGAGCACTGAAATGACAAATTAACTGCTGATCTATACTTACTAAGGACAGGTGGTACTAAGTGATTGCTAATCCATATTATCAGTGTAAGTAAATTAGCTATAATACTTCTAACTGATCAATCAGTAATAAAAAATAATCAATCTCCTACACCAAATAGAAGTATTGGACATAAAGAATCACTACAAAACGAGACAATTTCAATTACATGTAAAATGTACAATCCTATTAAACATA